AAAATTTTTATCATGGTACATATCTATAATTTTTAATTTTATACCGAGTAATTTAATTAAACTTCATATATATACCACTTAATTAGTTGACTAACATCTATCAAATTTTCATTTTCTTGAGAAATGGGAACACCTAAGGTCTCAAACCTTTTCCACCTTCATACTATGTCAGTGTATTATGCAACTATGCATTAAAATAAAAATCACAATTTTTCTAATTTATATTGAATCATGTGGGTTAACCCCTACAAAAAGATCGAGTTTTCCTATAAATTATATACACTGAAGTTTAAGCTTTTTATTGTTGATTAAAAATACTTAATAATATTATAAATCTATATTAATGTATGTTAAAAACATTCATGGTACATGGACATCGTTTCTAATATTTAATGAATAATTTAATAAAAAATCATATTCCACTTAATTCAGTGGATTATCCCCAATAAAATATTTATTTTTTTAAAATATTAACGGGATCAATTAAGGTTTCAAATCTCTTTAGTCTTCATCATATGTCAATGCATGATGATCTTGTGCATTAAAACAAAATACCATATTTTCTTATTTAAACTTACAAAAAGATGAAGTGTTTTCCAATAAATGATATATATATATATATATATATATATATATATATTAGATTTTAGCCTCTTTAGTGTTATTTTAAAAACATCTAATCACACTCTAAATTTATATTAATGTATACTAAACATATTTTCATTGTACATGTCTATAATTTTAATTTTCTTTTGAGTAATTTAATTAATATTTCATAGACCACTTAATTAGTGGACTAATCCATATTTTCTTGAGAAACGTGAACACCTAAGAGCATCAGCAATGCCGGTACTCTCTTGCTCGATAACGCAGGTAATTTTTATATTATATTATTATTTTCAGCCTTTTATAAAGAAAAAAAAAACCAATCTCAGATTCCCACGTGGCGATGGGACCTGCGCACAGTAACGTACCTGCCAGAAAATCAGTCTTTACCAAATGACTGCAAGAGCTTTTGTTGGCACCAAATCCAAAAAATGTGGGACCTATATTATTTTATAATAATTTTTTTGTGTGCTAAGGATTCTTGTATTTTGCCGTGCTCTAAGGTCTCAAACTTTTTGCATCTTCATACTATGTTAGTGTATGATGCAATTATGCATTAAAACAAAAATCACAAATTTTCGAATTTATCTTGAATTATGTGGGTTAACTTTTACAAAAATATCAAATTTTCGATAGTTTCGAAGAGCGCCAAAAGGAGTTAGAATCTATGTCTAGAATTTCACCATCATCTTTTGGTTTAAGATTACTGGATGCAACAAAATAAGAATATTTTAGAATGATCATATAGTACAAGTGGAGACTGTAGTGGTTAATTGTGTTTCCCTTTGCTCATCACACTCTGTCTCACTTATCTAGAGTAGCTGGGGCTTAGCTTACATAGTATTTCTAATCTACAATAAGTTGCTTCAGTCTCTACACTGTTGACCTTAACTTCCACTAGTGGACTAGGCTCACTAAGATATATCGGCCCGGTAAGTGTTATATGTATTCAATATATCTCGGCCCAATCTTTAGAAAATTATAATATACTATTCTTTTCTGTAGCTTCATGAGACATGACTTGTAATGGAAACGGCGTGAAACCCAAGGGAGAGAGAGTGGTAAAACCGTAATAAAACAATAAATTACTCGTCACGGGCCCCACCATTACCTTGGGGTGTTGTCCAAGCTGCTTTTTATATAATACGTGTCGGATCGTCTTCTCATCAGCCACTTCGTATTAGCTTCGATCGTCTCTCGTTTACATCCACTCATGTGAGTATATTCTCCAACTTATGCCCTTAGATTCTCATCGATTAGTTTTTCTAGATCTGTCTGGTTTTGTCTGTAAAATCTCATATTCGTTGTGTGAATCTTTGCAGTGTTTTCTTAACTATGGCGACTAAGAGAAGCGTTGGAACTTTGAAGGAAGCAGATCTGAAGGGAAAGAGCGTGTTCGTGAGGGTTGATCTCAACGTTCCTTTGGATGATAACTCTAACATCACCGATGACACTAGGATTCGTGCCGCTGTTCCCACCATCAAGTACTTGATGGGAAACGGATCTAGGGTTGTTCTCTGCAGTCACTTGGTATGTCTTCTCGTTTTTTGATCTGATCTGGTTTTATTACAGAACCTCGTTGTTTGGTCGGGTGCCTTGTCCTAATCATTTGTATAAGCTTGTCCTCGAAATCATTTTTTTTAGTTATATTATGTTGTAACAGTGGCGTGTTTTTTTCGTTAAGTTGCTAGTTTATACGTTTTTGAACATTGATATTCAGTTATGAACATGTCTTCACTGTCTTAAATGATAAGTTATGCCTTGTCTGAGCCATTTGTATAAGTTTGGTCGCTCTCCTTGCAACTGAGTTTTCTATTTGGTTGCTACATTTGCAGATGACTTCACTTTCTTACATGATAGTTTATGCTTCGTGTGAACCATTTCTATAAGTTTTGTCCCTCTTGGAACATTGATGATCACTGATCAGTTATGTTATGTCTTAGTAGTGGCTTGTTACGTTCATTAAGTGCATGAAAATAAAATTATTGAATATCTTGGATTCAACCTTCTTATAACTATGATGTCTCTGATCTCAATTATATGTTTCAGGGTCGCCCAAAAGGTGTTACCCCTAAATACAGCTTGAAGCCTCTTGTACCAAGATTGTCTGAGCTTCTTGGTATTGAGGTTTGTGCCTCTTGTTCCTCTCTTCTTTCTAAGTGTTTTGAACAAAAACCATTACTACTGTGAGTTAACACTGTTTTTGTGAATAGGTTGTGATGGCCAATGACTCAATTGGTGAGGAAGTCCAGAAACTGGTTGCAGGACTACCTGAAGGTGGTGTTCTTCTCTTGGAGAATGTGAGGTTCTACAAGGAAGAAGAGAAGAACGACCCTGAATTCGCCAAGAAGCTTGCTGCCCTTGCTGATGTCTACGTCAACGATGCTTTCGGCACTGCTCATAGAGCTCATGCTTCCACCGAGGGAGTTGCCAAATTCTTGAAGCCTTCTGTCGCTGGTTTCCTCATGCAGAAGGAACTTGATTACCTTGTCGGAGCTGTGGCGAACCCCAAGAAGCCTTTTGCTGCCATTGTTGGAGGTTCAAAGGTGTCAACAAAGATTGGTGTCATTGAGTCACTTCTGTCCTCTGTTGATATCCTCTTGCTTGGTGGAGGTATGATCTTCACTTTCTACAAGGCACAAGGATATTCTGTTGGATCTTCCCTTGTGGAAGAGGACAAGCTTGACTTGGCCAAGTCACTTATGGAGAAGGCAAAAGCTAAAGGTGTCTCTCTGTTGCTCCCAACCGATGTGGTTATTGCTGACAAGTTCGCTGCCGATGCCAACAGCAAGGTAACGGACATAAAAACACATTTCAGTGTCTGATCTGGTCTGTTTAGAGCTGACACAGTTGTGTGAACTCTTTGCAGATTGTGCCAGCCACAGCAATCCCAGATGGCTGGATGGGACTCGATGTTGGTCCTGACTCCATCAAGACATTCAGCGAGGCTCTTGACACAACCAAGACCATCATCTGGAATGGTCCCATGGGTGTTTTTGAATTCGAAAAGTTTGCAGCTGGAACTGAGGTAAGCGCAACTAATACTTCAACTTCATCTTACACCAACACCTTGTCACTTAGATTACATAAACCTAAGTTGCCCTTTTATCAAACTCCAGCTTAACTAACCTGATATCTCTTGCCATGTTCCACAACCACCAGGCCGTTGCTAAGCAGCTAGCTGAGCTGAGCGGAAAGGGAGTGACGACAATCATTGGAGGAGGCGACTCTGTTGCTGCCGTTGAGAAGGTTGGTCTTGCTGACAAGATGAGCCACATCTCCACCGGAGGAGGTGCAAGTTTGGAGCTTCTAGAGGGAAAGCCACTTCCCGGAGTCCTCGCTCTCGATGACGCATGAATTTCATCTCTCTTGTGATATAATGATATGTATTACAAGTCTTCTGGTTTTCTTATGACCAGATGAGCAAAAGCCGTTGTTATTGTCAGCTTGAGATTTCTGTCTGCGGCTCTTTTCGGAGTTTTTGTTTGGAGCCTTTGTTTTTTTTTTTAAATAAGAGAGATGAAACTCTGATTAGTAAACAGTTTATTTCAAATGTTTACTCTTTACTCTTTATAGAGCATCTAATTCCAATTTTAAAATAGTATTTTTATCAGTGTTCCAAAAATTGGACTATAGAAATATGATTTATATGATTCAAATTAGATTAAATTGTTTTAAATCGGATATAAATATGATTCAAAAATTGTTCTAAATATGTATAAATAATAATGTTAGTGTAATTTTTTTTTATATCTCTAATTTTTACAATTCTTGAAATAAATTTATATTTAGACCCAAAAACCTAATATCTTATATGAATCTAGTTGCCACCTGATTTATTTATTTGTTACAAAACTTCTAGTTACCATATAATGACTTTTTAGTTTTTTGGTAAAATATTAAATTTATACAATTTCCGAAATTTAGTGTTGCACACAACTGGACAGAAATTAAAGAGAAAAAAAAGAAACAAGTACCTTTTAGTTACCACCTAATTTATTTATTTATTTAGTTTTAGACACTGGTTTTCTATTTTATAATTTAGTATTTACATGGAATTATTATTTATTTATTTTTATCAAAATGTGGGATTATTTACACTGAAAATTCCATTATAAAGATACTCCTTTGTCAACATGGAATTATTTTATTTTAAAGAAAAATTAGAGAAATACATATTCGCTCTGATATAAATATACTAAAACCGGTTGGTTTCGCTAAATCTAGCATACCGGTTTACTTACAAACCGGCTGGTCTCACCCCAGAGTTTGCTCCGATGGCACAGAACCCTTGACGATCAAAAGAAAGCCGTCTTCCTCCTCAAACGTACTCTCTCTCTCATCTCTCTCTCATTATACTCATAACATTTTGAACTCTTCACTCATTTCTCCATCGCGTCTAATCTCTACGAATCCTTATACAGTTTCTGCATCTATGAACTCTCGGAAAATGAGATTTGATCCAACAATATGAGATCACAAATGTTCCTCCGATCATTCATTCACCTCTCCTCAAAACCCTCATGGAAGCACCACCGTTCCTACTCCTCCGAATTCAACATCTCCACCGAAGTCATCACAATCTTATCCAAACACAAACCCATAGAGCCATCTCTAGAGCCCCTCGTCCCCTTCCTATCACCCAAAACCATCACATCGATAATCAAAGACCAAATCAACCCCCAATTAGGTTTCCGTCTCTTCATATGGGCTTCGAGGAGAGAGCGTCTAAGGAGCAAAGAGTCTTTCTCTCTACTCATCGATTTGTTATCTAAAGACAACGGATTCGATCTATACTGGGAGACGTTAGAGGAGATTAAATCGAGAGGAGTCTCTATAGATTCTTACTGTTTCTGTGCGTTGATCTCGGCTTATGCGAAGATGGGTTTGGCGGAGAAGGCGGTGGAGTCGTTTGGGAGGATGAAGGAGTTCGATTGCAGACCCGATGTGTTCACTTACAACGCGGTGTTACGTGTCATGATGAGGAAAGAAGTGTTTTTTATGTTGGGTTTCGCTGTTTACAACGAGATGTTGAAGTGTAACTGCGCGCCGAATCGGTATACGTTTGGTGTTTTGATGGATGGGTTGTTTAAGAAAGGGAGGATGGGTGATGCACAGAAGATGTTCGACGATATGACTGCGAGAGGGATTCTTCCTAATAGAGTTACTTACACGATTCTTATCTCGGGGTTGTGTCAGAGAGGGATGGTTGAAGAAGCGAGGAAGCTGTTTGAGGAGATGAAAGGGAGCGGTCAGGGTTTTGATTCCGTTGCGTGTAATGCTTTGCTTGATGGGTTTTGTAAGTTGGGTAGGATGGGTGAGGCGTTTGAGTTGTTGAGGATGTTTGAGAAGGATGGGTTTGTGCTTGGTCTTCGAGGTTATAGTAGTTTGATTGATGGGTTGTTTAGAGGTGGGAGGTATGATGAGGGGTTTGAGTTGTATGAGATTATGCTGAAGAAGAATATCAAGCCTGATGTTGTTTTGTATACGATATTGATTCAAGGGTTATGCAAAGCTGGGAAGATTGAGGATGCGTTGAAGCTGTTAAGCAGCATGCCGAGTAAGGGTGTTTCCCCTGATACATACTGCTACAATGCTGTTATAAAGGCTTTATGTGAGCAGGGGCTTTTGGAAGAGGCTAGGTCTCTTCATCTGGAGATGTCGGAAACGGAATCCTTCCCTGATGAGTTCACACATACGATCCTGATTTGTAGTATGTGCAGGAATGGGCTAGTTAGGAAAGCTGAAGAAATTTTCAAGGAGATTGAGAAGAGAGGCTGTTCTCCTTCGGTTGCTACTTTTAATGCTTTGATAGATGGACTCTGCAAGTCTGGTGAGCTCAAGGAAGCTAGGTTATTGTTGCATAAAATGGAGGTAGGGAGACCTGCTTCCTTGTTTCTACGGCTTTCGCATAGTGGGAACAGGAGTTTTGACACCATGGTTGAATCTGGTTCGATTCTCAAGGCGTACAAGGACCTTGCACATCTTGCTGATACTGGGAGTTCGCCTGACATTGTAACTTACAACGTTCTGATAAATGGGTTCTGCAAAGAGGGAAACATTGATGGTGCTCTCAAGCTGCTCAATGTGCTTCAACTAAAGGGTTTATCCCCTGACAGCGTCACTTACAACACCCTCATCAGCGGACTTCACAGAGTTGGCAGAGAAGAAGAAGCTTTTAAACTCTTTTACGCGAAAGATGACTTTAGACACAGTCCCGCTGTTTACAGATCGCTCATGACATGGTCATGTCGGAAAAGAAAGATTATGGTCGCTGTTAGTCTATGGTTGAAATACCTGAAGAAGATATCATGTCTTGACGATGAAGCAGCTAATGAGATTGAACAATGTTTCAAGGAAGGGGAAACGGAGAGAGCTTTAAGACGGCTAATCGAATTGGATACGAGTAGAGAAGAGTTCAGTTTCGGACCTTACACGATATGGCTGATAGGGTTATGCCAAGCCGGGAGATTTCAAGAGGCCTTGATGGTGTTTTCGGTTTTAAGGGAGAAGAAGATCCTCGTAACACCTCCAAGCTGTGTCAAACTGATTCATGGACTCTGCAAAAGAGAACAACTTGATGCAGCGGTAGATGTGTTCACATACACTCTAGATAACAACTTCAAGCTGATGCCTAGAGTGTGTAACTACCTACTAAGCTCTCTCCTGCAAACCAGAGACAGATTGGGGATTGTTTCTCAACTTACAAACAGAATGGAACTTGCAGGTTATGATGTTGACTCAATGCTTCGATATAAGGTTTTGAAACGTCTTAGACATAGAAAAAGTCGGATCCTGGTAGGTACTTAGGTGATGAAATGATACATAAAAGGTTTATTTACATTACATCAGCGTTTTGTCGAGAAGAGAAATGAGTTTTGATTCAGTCTGTCTTTAGCTTGACATTACATTATAGAGTAGACGATCTCTGAAACTAGAAGCTAAAGGGAAAATGAGAAGAGGGCCAAGTGTGAAGTTGTAGGCAAGGTTATAAGGGGGGAAAGATGGTGATACGTAAATGCTTTGTATGCATTATTTATAGAGTCAGTTCTTGGAAATTTTCATTGTTGTACACTGATTTGTTTTGTAATGATTCCTTATGATGTTAAATCTCTTTTGAAATAAAGACTAAACATGTCTGAGTCTCCTGTTTGTTTATACACAAATGAATCCCTGATGAGAGAAAGCCATTAATTAGTGATTAATTGGTTTGTTCAAGTCAGAAAAGAGATATTGCCTGGTTATGGTTGTTTTGTTTGTTCCCTTTTTGGTCCATGAACCAGATTAATACATGTGGATGGGATATATGTGTAGCTTGGTCCATTTGTAAACAGTCAGTTTTGTGAAATGATAGTTGAAGTTGACATCAACGAGGCCTTTTTAAAACTCTAGGCCCAGATCCGTCTGACGTGGCATCATCACACCAAGTGGTTAGTGTCTCAACCCAAAAACGACAAAAGATCTTCAAATATCATAGGAGGCCGAGGCCTGAGCGTTGGATCTAATACACTGCCAAATCAGAACCGTTGATTATTGCATTAGTTAATATATGTAGGTGGGCCGCACCAGATTCGCAACCCAATCAAAATCAATTTCTGCTTTTATAGTAAAAAGAGTGTCGTCTCTGCACACTAGTAGTCAAAATCGTAGGCACACATAAAAAACTCCGTTAGCGAACATTTTGAGATTCTTCACGTTTATTAATACTGTTTTTGGCTCTCATAAGCCACCGAAAGTGTTTAGGTTTTTTTTCTTTTGAGCAGTCAGTCAAAAGATCTCTTTCATTTTACAATGGCCTCCTCTTCTCTCCTCAGATCCGCCGCCGCCTCGGTTGCTGCTCCTCGCTCTGACCTTTTCTCGTGTGATCATTCTAAGGTCTAACAGACTACGTTCTTGCCTCTTACTGATTCATTTAGTTAGCTGTGTTTCTGTTCGATTTGACTTTGTTTTAGCTTAAGGTCGTGCTTTAATACATATCTTTAAATCTGTAGTTCTGTTCTGAGTTTTTTTTCAGTGTAATACTGACGTTACTCCTGTTTTGGTTATTACCATGTCGCGTTTAAATTTGTAGTTCTGTTCTGAGTTTTTTTTGTTCAGTGTAATAGTGTCGTTACTTCTGTTTTGGTTACTACCATGTCGTGTTTATTCTTGTTGTGTCTAATCTTTTTCAGGTTTCTGCAAGTGTTGGGTTTAGTCGCAGCCTCACATCATCAAGACTTTCTGGTGCTGCTGGGTCAGCTTTGTCTCTACAGTTCTGTGGCAAAACTCTCCTCTAACTCATTGGATTTTTTAAAATGCAATTTTAGTTCTTTAGAGTTTTTGTTTTTAATATATATGTTCAAATGTACAGAAAATGCAACGTAAGAAGTGTGCAACCCATCAAGGCTACGGCTACACAAGTTCCACCTGCAGTTCAAAGTATGTAAGCAATAAATACTACTTTAGTGGATTTGTTTGTTTGTTGATGTATGCTTATTGGTGAATTTGATCTGATTGGTTTGTGTAGGGTCAAGTAGCACTGGGAAGACTAAGGTTGGAATCAACGGTATGTGTTTTTCTGGATTTGTGGATATATTTTTGAGTCCTCAAGTTTTTCATTTCTTATGGAAGCTTCTTTTTGCTATGAGTTACACAGGTTTTGGTCGGATTGGAAGGTTGGTACTGCGCATTGCAACATCCAGGGATGATATTGACGTTGTGGCAGTTAATGACCCTTTCATTGATGCCAAGTACATGGTAAGAGTGTATTCTTTTTAGCAGGCTATATTTTGAAACGCTATTTGTGCTCTGTTCTCAATCTGAGTTGCTTTCTTTCATTGCTTGCTTGATTGAACCTGGCTTAGAAAACCTTGCAAGATGTAGCATATGTTTGTCTTCTTTTCCGATGAAAAAAATGTTTGGTTGTAGAACTTGATGCCGATCTTTTATTCCCCGTATTCACAGGCTTACATGTTGAAGTACGATTCTACTCATGGAAATTTCAAGGGAACAATCAATGTCATTGATGAGTCTACATTGGAGATCAATGGGAAAAAGGTCAATGTTGTCAGCAAGAGGTAATGCTTTTAAGTGGCATGTTGTTTTCTGCAGATCAGAGAACGCACTGTATCGGTTTAAAACATGACATCCTTTTAACCCTTTCTTCTCAGAGATCCAGCTGAGATTCCTTGGGCTGATCTTGGAGCTGATTATGTTGTTGAGTCTTCAGGGGTATTCACCACCCTGTCAAAGGCTGCATCCCATTTGAAGGTGCATTTTCATACACGCATTGTTGACCTCGTAACCTGTCATAAGATATAATTCCAATAACCTTGTTTAAAGATGACATATGGTTGCTTAATATTTCATTGTTTTTGCAGGGTGGTGCGAAGAAAGTAATCATTTCTGCTCCTTCAGCTGATGCACCCATGTTTGTTGTTGGAGTTAATGAGAAGACATACCAACCAAACATGGATATAGTCTCCAATGCAAGTTGTACCACCAATTGTCTTGCACCTCTTGCTAAGGTTGGTATGTTACTTAGTCTTCCCTCACTTCTAGGAGCTTTGTTAAGGTCAACTTAACTGTTTATTTGGCAGGTGGTGCATGAGGAATTTGGTATTGTTGAAGGCTTGATGACAACTGTCCACGCCACCACTGGTATATATCTCTTCCTCTCCTGCTGGAAATCAGTGTATATTACTTACCTGATAACACTAACCTATGTGTTTTGATTGTCTTTCCTTTATATATTTCAGCTACTCAGAAAACTGTTGATGGACCATCAATGAAGGACTGGAGAGGAGGCCGAGGAGCTAGTCAAAACATCATTCCTAGCTCAACCGGTGCTGCAAAGGTACATAAACAAAATCACATGGTTAGCTACAACCATGCAATTATCCTAACTCTGTCATTTTTGAAATAGGCCGTGGGTAAAGTTCTGCCAGAACTTAACGGGAAGCTTACAGGAATGGCATTCCGTGTACCAACACCAAACGTTTCCGTTGTGGATTTAACTTGTCGACTTGAGAAAGGTGCCTCTTACGAAGATGTGAAAGCAGCCATTAAGTATGATTCTCAAAACTCTCTTGACCAATCAATCATGCTCATCACAATATTATTTGTTTTCATGAGTTTAATGTACAACTGGTAGTAACCTCTCATGATTTAATGTAAACCTCTCAACAGGTATGCCTCAGAAGGACCTCTAAAAGGCATTCTCGGGTACACAGATGAAGATGTTGTCTCCAATGACTTCGTGGGTGATTCAAGGTTCGTCTCTCTTTTTTTCTTCAAAGCTATCTGAATCTTGATATGTGGTTGGCTAATGTGGTGATTGTAATAACAGGTCAAGTATCTTTGACGCCAATGCTGGGATTGGACTGAGCAAGTCCTTTGTGAAACTTGTCTCTTGGTACGACAATGAGTGGGGTTACAGGTACAGTTCTTGTTTCTTCTCATCTCATTTCAAATCAGATATATCCACCAGTTCTCAAACACTTACTGATCTTCTCTAATTTTACTTTGCAGCAACCGAGTGCTTGACCTTATAGAGCACATGGCTTTGGTAGCAGCCAGCCACTAAGCACACACACACACACACAGGTCCTTGCAGAAGGTTGAGACTTTCTACAAGGCGGTTTGGACTGGTTTGGTTGTATTAGGTGCTAGATCTTTTACGGGTTTTGTTTGGTTACTACGAGCATTCCTTCTTTTTGGTTCTGTTTCAGTATCTGCAACTACGAGAAAAAAACATAGATGTGGTCTAATACTACTGTCATTTTTCAATAAGCAACAATTCTTTGCGAGCTTCTTTAGTGAAACTAAGCTTCGAACTTTCTTATGGTATAAGATCACTGAAAGTTTTTATTAAAAAGTGAAAACTGTGATTGGATTAAATTAACCGTGTAATCAAGCGCCTACACTACTACCTGTTCCACATTTTCAGAAGAAAGCTTACCTGGTCTCCGGAAGCGTAGCATAAGATTTATTTTGTCCAACATTACGGCCTGTTAAAATATTACAGATCCAAATTAAACATGAACAATGTGTATGTCGAGTATACAATATAGCCCATTAATTTTGAAATACAAGATATTAAAGGCCCATATAAGCGGCCTATTTAAGTTATCTTTGAAATATTATAGGCCCATACTTACGGCCTATGTAAGTCAGCTTTGAAATAGTAGAAGCCCATGTTGGTATTTTGACCTAGTATGGTCGCTATATAAACCACCTTTGCCACTGATTTTCACAACTCAACCTAGAGCGTTTCTCATCTTCTCACTTTCTCATCTGTTCACCTTAGGTTCAGCTATGCTATGGTTTTTTTTTTTCTGTAGATACTTGCCTGTGATGTTTGAGATTGTCCGTACCATCTGAGATTTATTTATCTTTGATGAGTTTACCTCCAATGTTCTGAGGCTTTAGATATCTACGTTTACACTATTGTTATCTTAATTTATTTGAATAGTAGGCACTGATGATGAAACAAGATTACCATCAAACTATGAGAGATTCACAGCTCGTTGATGTATACATCTTATTATAACCTGAGCCTAGTTTTTGTTTAAGATGTTTTATATTACTGTTTGAATTGTTTATGGTTTCGAATTTATACTTACAAAAGGCAACCAATTAGAGTCGCTGGTACACTTTATTTATACAATAGTGTATTAAGCGCTGTGCGTTGCCGAAATTGATTTTGGCTGATATTCTGGTACGTGTTCTAGTTTAAATAGTTCATGTGCATTCAAAAAGCCTAACATACATGACTCGTTGACCCATTAGTTTCATAATCTTGTGCTTGGTTTTTATTAGCTAATTAAAGGCAACAATTTAGAGTCTCTGATTCACTTCTTAATAGTGGATAAAGCGCTGTACGTTGCCGACAATGACTTGGTGCAAAGATTTTCTTATTGGCTTCAAATGTGTTTTAGCCAATACGATCAATGTCCCAATATGTAATAATTTGTGTATGTAAAAGTATAACATGAATGATTCGGTTACACTGATTTATTAGTCTTAACATCAAATTTCTTGTTTAGGATTATATAACATTGGTGGATCTCTCGTTGTTTTATGGCAAGATTCTCTTCATGGACATCTCACTTGACATCTTCAGGGTTTGTCAACCATCAGAGAACATGTTTCTAATCATCTAATCAAAGTACATCATACTCGTCTTCTTGGCTTGAGTTCTATCAAGCGGTGCAAAAGACATTCGACAATATACTATTTTCTATTTAAATACAGATTAGATTCAGATACTATCCTATATCCAAAATACCGTTTTACAAATTTTAGTTAGGTAATTTTATTATTCAAATTTAGTTCAGATACCATTTTCTCGGTTTTGGTTCGGTCTTGAAATCATTACAAATGTCTAAGTATCGAAAAATGCAAAACTCTCACTGTGCAACACTTTACAAAAAAAAGTCTTCAGTTTCAATAGAACATAAATGAATTAACATGCAAATCAATATTCAGCTTTTTTTTTGTGGTTTTGGTTTCGTCTTGAGATTATTACAAATGCCCAAGTATCTATTTAGGACAGAGTAGTTACTCCTGCCAGAAAATGCAAAGCTCATTGTGCAACAGTTCACAAAAAATATTTTCAGTTTCAATCGAATAGAAATGAATTAACATTGCAATCAATCATCATTTATTATAATGTTTCCAGAGAGAATATCATCTAAGGTAGAATGTTTAAAGATTATGCAAATTGATGTAGTCAAGAAAAAGATAAAATAAGCAAAAGTTTCCTATAAACAACTTTCCTCTTTGATTATTTTTGCAATGTCAAGCAAGCATATATGCCCATCGGCATACAAAAATGTTTATTATCGACTAAAATTTAATTTTCTTTACAAAAAAGAAGACCCTATCCAGTATTTTAACATTTTTACCCAAAAATTACAAATCCAATTCTTCCAATTGAATACATTTTTTTCTGCCTAATTAAAACATGATTAGGTATTGTGAAAAAAAAAGGAAATTAATATTAAAAAGTGGTAAAAAATTAAAAGTGGTAATTTACTAATTTTAGCAAAATCCTGCACAAAAAAAAGGAAAAACGAACAACACAATTGGAAAAAGGAAAAAATAAAGAAAAGGAAAACTGCAATCTGATGCGCACTATATAAGTAAACAAACTCTAGCTTAAGGTCTCTCACAATATCTTAAGGAGGACGCAAGAACGGAGAATCCTAAAATCTACACGAAAGATTAGAGCTGTTGAAGAGATTTCATTGCTCTTTACCGTAAGCTTCTTTCTGTGATTTACCTCTTTTGTGTGATGTCGAACTTGGGAAAGATTATTGATCCTAACTTCTTTAAAGATAGAGTTGCTAAGAGAAGGTCTGAGGAGCGTGATGAAACGGTTTCTGATAGCAAGAGGCTTCGTCTTGGAGAAGAGAACGTGCTCACGTATACACATTACGATGGAGATTTAGAGAGTAGTTGGTTGAAGAGTCAGCGTCAGATGCTGGACCTGGAGAAGTTGGCTTTTGACAAAGGTGGTCTCCTGATGGCGAACGAGAGGTGTGACCTTCCACGTGGCTCCTACAGAGGTCATGGCAATGGATATGATGAGTTTCATATCCCATGCATTTCTAAAAAAGTAGATGTCAGTGAGAAGCTTGTGAAGATCAACGAGATGCCAGTTTGGGCTCAACGGGCTTTTAAAGGAATGCAAGAGTTGAACAGTGTTGAGAGCAAAGTGTATGAGACTGCGCTATTTAAGTCTGACAACATTCTTCTTTGTGCTCCAACTGGTGCTGGAAAAACCAATGTTGCAATGCTCACCATACTCCAGCAAATTAAATCCAATAAGAAGAATGATGGAAATTGCAAAATCGTCTATATTACACCCATGAAGGCCCTCGTTGCTGAGGTCGTCAGTAACTTGTATTATCGTCTGAAAGATTATGGAGTAACTGTGAGAGAACTCAGTGAGGATCAGTCTCTTAATGGTAACGAAATTGAGGATACTCAGATCATTGTTACCACGCCAGAGAAGTGGGAAATGATCACCAGGAAGACTGGTTATACCCACCTTGTGAGACTTGTTATAATCGATGATATTCATCTTTTGCATGATAATAGAGGTCCTGTGCTTGAAAGCATTGTCGCCAGGACTCTTATGAAGACTGAAACCACCAAGGAGAATATTCGTTTGGTTGGTTTCTCAGCTATACTGCCAAACTATGAAGACGTGGCCTTGTTTTTGCGGGTTGATCTCAAGAAAGGGTTGTTTGAATTCGACAGCGGCTACAGATATCTGCCTCTTGATCAGAAGTATATTGGAATCACTGTGGAAAACCCGTTGGAGAAGTTCCAGATGATGAATGATCTTTGTTATCAGAAAGTAGTGGCTGGTGGTGGAAAGCACCAGGTTCTTGTTTTTGTTAATTCGAGGAATGAAACAGCAAAAACTGCAAACGCTATAGTGGAGACAGCAATGGAGAACGATACACTCGGCAGATTCTTGGAAGAAGATAGTGGAAGCCGTGAAGTTCTTGAGAGTCAGATTGAACTTGTTGAGAATAGTGATCTGAAAAAACTTTTGCCTTACGGTTTTGGTATTCATCATTCCGGGCTAACAAGGGGTGATCGTGAGATAGTTGAGACGCTTTTTGGTGAAGGTTATGTGAGAGTCTTGGTTTCCACAGCAACTAGTGTGAATCTGCATGCTCATACAGTCATAATCAAAGGAACACAGGCTTATGATCCTGAGAAAGGAGCGTGGATGGAACTCAGTGCGATGGATGTTATGCAGATGCTTGGTCGTGCTGGAAGACCTAAGTATGATCAATATGGGGAAGGTATAATCATCACTGGCTACACCGAGCTGCAGTTTTATCTTTCTTTGATGAATGAGCAGCTACCTATTGAAAGCCAGTTTATTTCAAAACTTGCTGATCAGCTTAATGTTGAAGTTGTGGCTGGAACTCTTCAGAATGCTAAAGAGGCTTGTCATTGGCTTGGCTATACGTATCTATATCACCGTATGGTTTGTAATCCTACGCTTTATGGTTTAGCGTCTGATGCCCTTGGAAAAGACCCAGTGTTGGAGGAAAGAAGAGCTGACCTGATACACTCAGCTGCTACTATCTTGGACAAAAACAATTTGGTTAAGTATGACAAGAAAAGTGGATGTTTCCAAGTTACTGATTTGGGACGGGTTGCTAGCTGCTACTGTGTGAGTCATGGGACCATAGCTACGTACAATGCGCATTTGAAGCCAACGATGGGTGATGTTGATCTGTATCGTCTGTTATCGCTGAGTGAGGAGTTCAAGTATGTGACTGTTGGGGGAGATGAGAAGATGGAGCTGGCGAAGCTTTTGGATCGTGTCCTGGTTCCTATCAAGGAAACTCTGGAGGAGCCTAGTGCAAAGATTAATGTTTTGCTACAGGCATATATTTTACAGCTAAAGCTTCAGAGTCTTACTTTGACATCAGACATGGTTTATATAGGTGAGAGAGCTGGACGTCTTGTACAAGCTCTCTATGAAATTGCACTGAAGCGTGGATGGGATGAATTGGCTGAGAAGGCTCTGAACTTGGCTAACATGGTTGGGAAGATTACAAAAGAAATAAAAGTTTAAGCTGTTTTTTTTTTCTGTTAATTTACTTCATTACTTGTCACTTTTAACATACTTACAGTGTCCACTTTTAAACGATGTAGCAGTTCAAAAGGTAGAATGTTTCGATTTTTGTGTCAAAAATTTTCCAGTTTCTCTTTTTTGTTTTTGTTTTTGTTTTAATACACATCAATAATGTTTAATGGCAGTAATCTTTAATAGACTTGCTTGCTCTTCATGCTAAATAATTGCAGGTAGAATGCTATTTCCAAGGTATGCATTCTCTTATGCATCCTTACTAACCTTGGTTTCTAAGTGAGAAACAATTCTTCTATTTTTCCAATTTATACTAACAAGACTATACAAGACCAGTCCAAATTATAGCCATGCATTTGCGTACATGTTTAAATTCCAGGCGGCTCCATTCAGGGGGAGTGAAGCAGACTGGTCTTGGAAGAGAAAGATCCAAGTATGGTATGAACGAGAGTACCTTTAGGTAACTCAGAACATTCATCTCTCTGAATCAACTTGTCCAGAAATTGATTTGTTGATAATATTAGACAGAAATATATCACATGAACACGTTATAAGTAATGAGAATCTGTAATGTAAATTCTTTTTAAAAGTTTTTTGTTTGTAAATACATATGCTTAGGAGATATGAAGAGAGACATCTGTTAAACGTCTCGGAAACTGTAATTCCTCCTCCACTTATGTATCCATCTAATAAAAGCTCTCAGTCTTTGGTATACGGCCAATGATTATGGTTTCTGAGTAATATAGTTTGGTGTTTTGATCTTAATTTGTTTTCAGGGGAATTTTTGTGTAATATACGGACGATTTTCTGCTTTGTGTATACTAAAAAGAGTGTCTTGTTCTTTGACTACAACTAGAGTTTAACCCGCACATATGTATAAATATATTTAAAATTTTTAGTTATATATTTATAAAATAAAAAATACATCAGTATGGATATCCAGATCAAACTCTAATTTATCTTATTATGTAAACATATATACGTCCCATGTGTTTGATATGTATGATTATCCAGCCCTCACACTGTGTATATATCCTTCTGAGTCCAACTTTCAAATTCTAATTTTTTAAAACCTTGAAAATTAAACATGCTATAAGTTTTTTTTTTGCTATAATTTGGCATAAGTTTATTAAAGGTTAAGATATTAGTTAACTAAAAATTTTGATCAGTTTTTTTAAAAAAAAAAATTGTGATCAGTTTTGTTTCAAATTAGCGTTGGAATAATTGTTTTATACCAAACTTTGGGGATTTTTCATTTTTCGGGGAAAAAGGATAACAAGGGTGGAAGGAATATATTCATTTCGAAGAAGAAATTCCAAAGCACCAAAAAGATGCTTGAAGTTCAAGCAACCATGGACTCTCTAATATTTTAAACCAACTTACTTTTATTGTCATTAATTTATGGGTGCCCTTAATTTATTTATTCTTTAGTACTAATAATTCTTTTTTTAAAGTTCCTAGTTCCCTTCAGCAACAATTAGCTAGAAGTTAAACATTAGCTTTAGTTGGTTTAAAAGGTTGTATGCAAAATGAAATTTCAATTAAACCCGTTATCCAATCCAAAGCATTAATTGGTTTAGCTAATATACCTCATATCACTACACTACCAATAAATTTTTGTAAAAATCGTGATATTGAGTCATGCCCAACAGAATAAGACCAGATAAAAGCTAACTTTGAAGAATGTGTGTGCGTACCTAAACTCTAGTTAAGTCTAGTAATATTGCATGAAAAAATTACGAAAAGTCTAGTAAACATATTGCATAAAACTATATGTAAGAACGTGGCTGGCCAACAGGCCAAGTTTATACGGTTGGCATCTATCGCGGGAATTTTGTTTTCGTTTTTTAATATTGTTGGCGCAATACGAATCTATCTTTATTTAACAAAGAGGCGAAGAATTGATTCCTATTCTCATGCAATTTGAACTTTGATTTATTATTTAACTGTAAAAGTTAATAACATTTTCTTATTTTATATCCTATCTAGAATCAATTGTGTGCGACGATTAAATCACTACAAACAACTAGTTTAATAGCATAAGTTTAAATTTTCTGGCAAGGGAAAACATTTTTTATTTGAGGTAAAAACATTGTTTCTAATTAAATTCAAATAATATATATGGAAAATGTATTACCATGTATAGCTGCACAATCGCCATTCCTTCAAAAGCCAAAAAGAGTTATAGCCCCAGCAAGCTTTAACCCAAAAATGGAGAAAAAGATAAAACATATGGTAAAAATAAATAAAGAATAAAAGAGCTTTAATAAGTAGAATAAGAGGTCCCCGACAGTAACACTATCTTTACACATTTATGCATAATTCTTCACATATCATTAGATCATGTATATGCATAACTTAAAGTTTTGGTTTCATATCCTTATGTTGTTTTTAACTCCATATTCCTTCATTAAATATTGGCTACATTGAACATTTTCCTGTTTTCCCTTAAAATTTAATACAAAATATATACTTTATTTAAATTTCTGATATAGTGCAAATTTATATTCTTAGACCATAAGCTCTCTTTGTATGTGCACATCAACCTCAGCCATATTCATTGACTTATTCTTATTCTATGTAAACATACCTTGGGACCTCCCACTCATGATATATATTAGGTTGATCAACTTACACACATGTTTTTAAAATGACTATTAATTCAAAATACTATAAATTATTTGAATAAGGGGCTAAATATATGATTAATGCCATTGAAGTATATCTAAAGAGATGCATATATACAACTATGTTTATATGTATATACATGTTTTTTTTTTTGCTAAATACGTATTTACAATGTTGTGTATATAAAACAATTCATCATCATTTGTAAATAAGGAAACTTAGTAGATTTAAAATGAAATCAATAATAACAAGGCTGATTTCCACGTTGTAATGTCCGGGGTAGAAATTCAATAATCTAGGTTTGTAAGCACGTATGTGTCGTCGACACAAAACGTATTTGTCTTATTGGTTAATTTTTCATATGTAAACGGTAAACCATATTTTAGATTAATCAATCGAATAACATTTTTGTTCTAATGTACAACAAAAAACATAAACTTGTTTGGGATGCTATTATAAATTTTCTTACAAAATATTTAGTCCAACTCATCATTGCTTAGATGTATATTCAACTCATAATTAGCTAAAATATTTTACCTACCATAAACGATAAACCCAGTTTTGTGGAATTTTTTTTGTTTTGATATTTCTATGTATGTGTCCTGATTTCAATATATATAACGATGTAGACATACGATATAAGTCTAATATCCGACTATCCTCGTGCGGTCTTAATTGAACAGAATATATAGAACTTTAATATATTCACCTTTGAAAAAGGTTTATATTCTCGTTTCATCTCATTATCTTCGAAACTGTTTAAATTTTGTTACAATTCTTAAATACTTATATAAATTCAAATCGACCAAAAAATCAATTATACGAGTATAATAACAATTAGCAGATATGTTTTTAAAACGTAGTATTTTTTTAATTTACCAAATTAGTCGTAATTTAATATTAAAGATAAAATATAAAAACTAGTATAGATAGTTATAATACCTTAAATTCAATAGAATTTAAGATATATACATTTCAAAATATTATATAAGAAACTGAAGAACCTCATATTTAACTTTGTTAGCCATAAAAAAAAAAAAAAGAAGCAGGGCATATATACATATACACTACCTATTTTCTGTATGTGTGTTTAGCTAACTCGTACAGGATCCTCCCATGTTAAAACTTACCTTTTCCGAACAAAAAAGTATACTTGGGGTGTACAAATTTCTATACTATTAAATTTATTTTATAATTAATATTTAAAGTAATTTTAAGACAGACATGAATTACTTCATGTATACGTATAGTGTCACATACATTTTATATTAAAAGTAATCCAAAGGTATTCAAGCAGAGAGATGTAAACAAAACAATTGAAAAGATAGCGACAGTATCTTTTCACAAAGGAACGTCTGCGTACTACTCTTAATCTTTAATTCTCTTCCTCACTTAGTAACGATAAAACAATATAAACTATACTATATTCATAACCAAATATTGAATTTATTTAATTCACAAACAAAAATAAAAAGAAGACGAGTGAGAGAAAAAGAGCAAAAAAGCCGTCATTTGATCTCTTCAAAAACGCATCGTATTCTTTCACATTTTTGCATCACATTCGTTTCCTTGAATCCCTCTGTTAGAGAGAGAGAGAGAGAGAGAGAGAGTCATAGAGAGAGAATGTTCCATGCTAAGAAACCTTCAAGTATGAATGGTTCATATGAGAACAGAGCTATGTGCGTTCAAGGCGATTCAGGCCTTGTCCTCACCACCGACCCTAAACCACGTTTGCGTTGGACCGTCGAACTCCACGAGCGTTTCGTAGACGCCGTTGCTCAGCTCGGCGGCCCTGACAGTATGCACACACATATATCTATATAGTTACTTGATCGATTTTAACAAATATTAATAAGTAATATTTGATCCTTTTTTATTTACAGAAGCGACTCCAAAGACGATTATGAGAGTTATGGGTGTGAAGGGTCTTACTCTTTACCACCTTAAGAGCCATCTTCAGGTATGTACACAAATAAATTAGGGTTTTCTTTTTCTCTTCATTTAGTAATATAATTATTATCGTAATAAAAAAAAAACTATCTGGATATATGGGTGCAGAAATTTAGGCTTGGAAAGCAGCCGCACAAGGAGTATGGCGATCACTCCACAAAGGAAGGTTCAAGAGGTGACCACTCTTCCTTCCTCTATATATCATATTAGCTAGGGTTCTAGAGATTACACATAAATATGTGTACATATATATATATATATATATATATATATATATATTAGATTATATGTTTTTTATCCATTTGTTCTCAACAAATCATTTTATCGCGTAGCTTCTGCCATGGATATTCAGCGCAACGTAGCGTCGTCTTCTGGCATGATGAGTCGCAACATGAATGAGTATATACTCTCTTCTCTTTAATTTTATCTACTTTTGTTTCCTTTTTATATTATCAGAAACTTACACTTGGGTTCTTTGATCAGGATGCAAATGGAAGTGCAGAGAAGGTTGCACGAACAGCTAGAGGTAATTATTTTATCGATATTTAACTCTTACTAAAAATAGTTCTGATTCACAATATATATATTAATTGCACTTAAATGTTTTTAGGTACAGAGACATTTGCAGCTGAGAATTGAAGCACAAGGAAAGTACATGCAATCTATATTGGAGAGAGCTTGTCAAACCCTAGCCGGTGAGAACATGGCAGCCGCCTCCGGGGGAGGGTTCAAAGGCAATTTGGGAAGTTCGAGTCTTTCCGCAGCTATGGGTCCACATCCTCTTAGTTTCCCGCCATTTCAGGACCTAAACATTTATGGAAACACAACCGATCAAGTCCTTGACCATCATAACTTTCATCATCAGAACATAGAGAATCATTACACGGCCAACAATGCTGCAGACACCAACATTTACTTGGGAAAGAAGCGACCAAACCCTAGTTTTGGTAACGATGTAAGGAAAGAACTCTTAATGTGGTCTAATCAAGATAACGAACCAATCGATGACGAGCACAGGATCCAGATACAAATGGCTACACATGTCTCAACGGATTTGGATTCTCTGTCAGAAATTTACGAAAGAAAACAAGGTTTATCAGGTGATGAAGGAAATAATTGTGGGAAATTATTGGAAAGGTCATCGCCTCGAAGATCACCGTTGAGCCCTATGATGAACCCTAATAGTGGGTTAATACAAGGAAGGAACTCACCATTTGAGTGATACAATCATTTATTTTAATATATGTGATGCATGAGAACGTGAGAACGAGATATATTTTGTTCATTATGACTTATAAGCTTGACTTAGGGTTTAGAGATGAGACAAAGAGAAACAAAAGTTGTTATGTTTACTGGATTAGTTTTGTTCGTATTTAAATTGTGCTGAAACTATATAAACCATTGTTGTTGCTATAATTATAATTAGGAGGGCGGATTGGTACTATGATTTTTTTTTTCTTTTTTGTAATCCAAAATTTATTTGTTGGGGTTTGTGGTGAACTATTACTTTTGATATTATGTGTTTGATAGCAGTTTATATTTGCTATTTGAAACTAATTGAGAATTTTTATTTTACATAAATTTTAACTATTTTCAAAAAATTTAATAAATATGATAAAGTATATGTATATTACTTTATATTGTGCCTTAACCAATACTCCCTTTGTTTCAAAATATTGTATGTTTTAGTTTTTTACACATTAAGAAAACATATAAAATTTTGATTACCAAGATATCGTTTTTTTTGTATGTAAAAATTCCCCATAACTTTTGTCAAAACAAATTCCCCATAATTTTATTTTTAACCAATAGAATATCAATAAAATAATTATTTTTTTTTGAAATTTACAATTTATCATTAATTAGTACATTGAAAATGTAAAAACTTTATTTTTTTAAACAGATATTTTTGCTAGAATATTGATCTTTTTGAAACAGAGGGAGTATACGTATACAACTTAAATTTATACTATGCCTTAACCAGTATATATACCCCATGGAGGAACGTAACATTTGTAGAACAAATAATGAACATCTATGGGTACTAGAGAATAGAGATCGCTCATGTTTCAAGGCATGTACGATATTTTAAAGCTTTTGGAAGGGCCCTTTGCTTTTTTTATGAGTTAGTTATTTCTATCTCAAGTTAGTTTGTACTTTGATGCCTTTATATATGATTACGCTAAAATGGGATATCTGCATTGGGAAACTAAAATTCAAACCAAACAAAAGTAAAGTTCATGGTAAAAAAAACTAATGAGTAAATAAGAAAAGGAAGGACAGAGCCAGTTATAATGATGATGATCCCATCAAAGCAAAAGGGTTTTAGGGTTTTGGGAAATCCACATGCAAACAGCAAGAAAAGCTGTAAACTTTGATTCAAATGTATATAGTCACTTGATTTCATACGTGTAAGTAAGTATCTATGTATATGTAGAGATTGATAGCTACAACATCCTTTCCAAAAGAAAGATAATAAAAGAACTTGTCATAAGAGACTAACCGACACTGAGTATCTATCTTTCCTTCCGTAGTTATCTTTGTTCTTTATTAATTCTTTTCTTTCTTTTTTCTGCTTCATATGACTAATTAGTTCAAATATCAGTACATCCGGTCTTAATTCTTAAACTTTTAATTAATTAAAGTGTTTGTAAATCAAAAGATTTGCCTTGATGACGAATGACTTTTGTTTAATTACTCGATATATGCATTAGTCACAACAAAATTCAAATTATACGGGTCACTATATGTACTATATATCATATATACTGGTTAGCTTTGTTGGTTATATAGAGATAGTAAAATAAAAAGATCTGGTCATCACTGGCATCTAAAAGAGAAAGCTCTCTCAGTCTCTTCTCTCTTTAAAAGCTGAGAAAACAAAAGGCAAAAAGAGGAGGATTGAAGGAGAAGCATATACAGATAGAGATATAAACGCACTCCCATGTGTGCACTTCTCGAGGAAGCTTCTCTTCTGCTTTTACCTATCCCCACACCTCCCTCTGATTACGTTTCTCTCTTATAATTATTTATGAAATTATGTTAATTATATTAAACAAATCATTTTGCATGTCATTAGTTCAGACAATTGATATACTCCATACATGAATTTCTTCCAGATAGATGTTTTATTTTTATTTTACCTGCAAACTAATGAAACTACATATTTTAAACTTTTATAGTCGACTGATATATAACATGCTAATTTTGTAATTTCCAATACATGGGTTAAAGTTAAACTCAGGATATATCATGGAAAATTCAATATAATTAAAATGAAATATCAAATAAATTTTTATTGACTGAAATATCCAATAAATTTCGTTTGGCTCATTTGTTATTACTGAAAGCGTACTATATAAAAGCTATAACTAAAAATATACGGAGTTAATTTGAAAAAAAAATATAATATATATAGTGTATTAGTGTATAGTGTAGTTTGTTTTTCAATTAGCTAGTGGTTATGGTTTGATAATCAATGCCATTGTGAAGAGGCATTATACAAAAATCTGGATCTGAAATGAAAATGGTGCATGTTTTATGAATATTCAATCACAATATATCAACCATAAGTTAATTATTACAACTATTCAGAGCTTTAATATTTATCCATCTTTGTTACTTTTTCGCGTTTCACATGCATAAACGTGCATGCAGGAGGTGATCGTAGCTTTACTTCTATATCACAGTTTTAAATAAATAATACTATTCATAACAAAAGTTAATGTTTGTACGCATATCATATGGTAATTATTATGGTTGTTTTTTTTTTTTTTTTTTTTTTTTTTTGTCAGCTACCCATCATTGCAAGATCAAGTGGTGGTCAGACGAGCCGATCCCCGGGGGGAATCTCCGTGTGACCTGGTCTGATCTATATGGGAGAATATAAAACCTTTCTTCCTTGCTTCCTTTGCGAGTGCGTCCGCACGGCCATTCCTACAACGGGGAATATGAGACAGGCTCACAACCTCAAAAACTTCCATTGATTGTTGGAGTATCTCAATCTCTGTCGCGAAATTTGGCCAGTCCTCCGGGTTGGTCGCCATGTCTACAAGATCCGAACAGTCCGTTTCGATCCGTACCGCTAATATCCTCAAGTCTTGCAGGCACGAAACTGCCCAGAGTAGGCCTTCCATCTCAGCATGCAAGGCTGATCGGGTTCTGTTACATGCTCGTTGTCCGAAGCGTTCAGCACCCATGTAATCCTTGCAACTCCATCCTAAGCCACTCACACTACCATTGTCGATCCAAGATGCATCGATTTGGCAGGTTGGGATTCGGGGAAGCCCAGGGGGTTCTGTCGCTGTCTCTATTATGGTTGTTAAGCAAACTAAAGTACTAATAAAAATAAAGAAAAGTAATAAAGGTAAGGGTCTCATGGATGGTCTATGCACATTCTTCCATGCAAATTAATTAACAATCATCTGTAGGCACCTCATTACGTACGATCTCGACCTTGGATTCCATTTTCTCCGCCCTTCTTCTTTATTTTTTCTTAAAGGAGGTATAATGTATTGTATTATAAAAAGACAATTGGAGTAATGGAACCCCAATAAATATATAAACAAATAACAAAACATAACTCGTGCTTGATTATGCTTTTCACTTCAACACAAACTATAAACATTTTATAAACGTTTAGTGACAAAAAAATGAAAATTATAATTTAGAGGACACCAACCTAACCTATGTATATTAGTTCTTTAAGATTTGAGAATCAAATTAAGCAAATGTTTCATCCAAGTATATCTGGTGGTGTTTCAACACAAAGGGGCAGGTCACTAGTGGGAACGGTGGTGGACGGTGGATGAAGATGGTTAACCTTACAAGTCAAGATTTTTATTCACTATTCACTTTGATTGCTCTTTTCTTCTTTAGTCTCTTTTCCAAAATAACTTCGTGGCAAGATTTGATGAAACTATGCAATAAAATAAAATATTGTATTTCAAATTTATCATTAAATATGTGAGTTATATATCCTCTAAAAAAATATCAAATTTTCTGATAAATATTATATACTGGAATTTAGGCTATTTATTATTGATTAAAAATATCTAATCACATTCTAAATTTATATTAATGTATTTTCAAATTGTTTTATGGTATGTGTTCATCGTTTTTAATTTTTAAAGAGTAATTTATCATTCACCTAATTCCGCGGACTACATCCTGTAAAATCTGTATTTTCTTGACATACAGAAATAACTAAGGTCTCAAACCTCTTCACTCTTCATCATATGACAGTCAATGATAAAGCTATGCAATAAAATGAAAATATCATATTTTCTAATTTATTTTCAAATATTTGGGTTAACCCCTACGAAAATATTGATATTTTTTTTTAAATATTATATACCGAAATTTAAGCTCTTTATTGTTGATTAAAATACCTAATCACATTCTGAATTTATATTTATGTATTTTGAAGTTTTTTTTTATGGTACTTGCACATCGTTTTTAATTTTTAAGAATAATTTAACAATCATTTAATTCTAGGCGCTGACCCCTATAAAATATGTATTTTCTGGACGAACGGGAATAACTAAGGTCTCAAATCTCATTAGTATTCATCATATGACAGTGCATGATGAAACTATACAATAAAATAAAAATATCATATTTTCTAATTTATCATCAAATATATGGGTTAACCCCTACGAAAATATCAAGTTTTCTGATAAATGTTATATACTAAATTTTAGGCTATTTATTTTTGATTAAAAATACATAATCACATTCTAAATTTATATTAATGTATTTTCAAATTGTTTTTCTGGTATGTGGATATCGTTTTTAATTCTTAAAGAGCAATTTATTAATCACCTAATTTCGCGGACTAATTCCTACAAAATCTGTATTTTCTTGACATACATGAATAACTACTGTCTCAAACCTCTTTAGTCTTCATCATATGACATTGTATGATAAAACTATGCAATAAAATAAAAAATATCATATTTTCTACTTTATCATCAAATATGTGGGTTAATCCCTACGAAAATATCGAATTTTTGGATAATTATTATATACTGAAGTTTAGGCTCTTTATTGTTTTAAAATACCTAATACATTCTGAATTTATATTAATATATTTTTAAGTTGTTTTTATGGTATTTGGACATCGTTTTTAATTTTAAGAATAATTTATTAATAACCTAATTTCCTAGACTAATTCCTATAAAATCTGTATTTTCTTGACATACATAAATAACTAAGGTCTCA